GCTCTGCCTTTGGGTGGGCCTTCCTAGGTGTCAGTCAGCCTGCTGACAGTGGACATCATGAAGCTAGACTCAGCCCCCCGAAACTTGACCCCTTGCCTCATTTGGGTGGCTTCTCCTCAATAAAAGGGTCAGCACGTGCCCCTCGCTCTCTTTTTCACAGACCCCTAAGGTTAGAGGAGCCGTCACAGGACCCAAAGAAAAAGGTATTTCTCTGTCTCTGTGTGATTGTTTCATGCTGCCCAGTTCACCTGGAGTGACCCTGAGTGTTCAGTTGCGAAACTCGACATAAAGTAATATGTGATTAAAGTAAGAAGACTGCTAAGGATTATGTAAGATTGCTTTGCTTTTTTTCCTCCAAGTGAGTTCTGCTACAGATACACAATTTTGTTTCCAGGTTGTTTGAAGTCAGAGGAATCCTCCTTAGGCCACCTGCTGATACACCTGTGTCTCCTGCAACTTTGGAACTGATCTTTCTCTGCCTGTAAAACAAGGTTTAAGTTTCCTACCTGATAACCAAGAACTGTCAGCCCTAATATTTGCTATGCCCAGAACCCCTCATCATGGTCTCCCTCAGGGAAAGTACTGGTAGGGAAATGTGTGGTCCAGAGAGGCCAAACCTCAGCCAGGCCACACAACACTAGTGGTCCAGTTTGTGACTCTGCTTTGTATGACACCAGCACATGTACATTTGCCCTCGCAGAAGAAAGTTCTCCCAGTCCCTCCCAAAATTTGTTAAAAATTACTTGCCTAAGTTCTATATGCTCTTAAATTAATTGAGTTAGTTTCCTACTGTGTCAATCATACCAGTTTAACACTTTTTTTTAAACATTTTTTTTAGTTGTAGTTGGACACGATGCTTTTATTTTATTTATTTGTATGTGGTGCTGAGGATTGAACCCAGGTCCTCGCTTGTGCTAGATGAGCACTCTACCGCTGAGCCACAACCCCAGCCCCGCAGTTTAACACTTTGATACTTTCAGCCTGGCTTTCTTGGAGGTCACGGAACCTCCAAGCATCTGAGGGTGGCTGTGAAATCTGTCCACAGAAAAATATGCACGCCACAAATACATGAGATCCAATGTCAACAGCTCTCCACGGCCTGCCCTTGAGCTTCCTAACAGGGCCACCAACAAGGATTTGGAATTCCAAGTCCAGTGTCTGGATTAGATTTTGTCATCCAAATTACTATAGTGCAGCTGGTGGGGAGCAACCCCGCTGCCTCTGGTTTTGCCTGATTTTCCCATTCTGGCCTTTTGTGAGAGCTGGGACGATGTCCCAAGAGAGGGCAAGCAGCAGCTGAGGCCGAGGTCGCCATCCCCCACAATCCCCCAGGGGCAGAGGGGCTGAGGCTGAGGGCAGACCCCAGGGCTCTGTGGTCGCAGACCTCACACAGGTATCAATTCTCCAAGGCAGACGCAGCTCATGGACACGTCTGACTGGCGTAGCCAGGAACCCTGGGGTGAGTTTATTTTTGGATGGACAATGTTAGTCTCTTCCAGGTGTTTCTGGAAAGGCTCATTCATTCTTTGTTAGGTTTTGTAGATCACCTACTCTGTGCAGGACCATGTGGGTCCTTGGTAAATAAATAAATGACCACCCTTTTTGTTAAAATGTAGCCCTCAATGGTCCTGGAGCAACTGGACATCCACATACAGCAAAGTGAATCTAGACACAGAAAAATTCATTCACGATGATCCCAGACCCAAGTGTAAACCGTCAAGCACCTACAAGATAACAGAAAGTGCTACATGGTCCTGGGTTGGCATGGCTTTTTAATGCAACACCAAAGCCAGGATGCATGAATTAAAATTAAACATTCTGTTCTTTGAAAGAAACACTGAATTAAAAAATAAGCCAAAGACTGGGAAAAAATGTTAGCCAAAGATCTATGTAAATAAACACGCAAGAGTGCCGGCAGCTCATCAGTAAGAAAACAACTCAGTTACAACATGGGACAGAACTCAGCAGATACCACCACAGAAGATGAGGATGAGCAATCATCTGAGGGATGCTCCCGGTCATGTCACCAAGGAAGTGTCAATCAACCACAGTGACATGCCATTTCATGCTGTAAGAATGTCCTGAATCCACACAACTTGCTAGCATCAAGTGCCGGCGGGGATGTGGAACAGTGAGCACGCTTGGTCATCACAGCTGGGACTAAAAATGTCCAGCTCTTCCAGAGGCCGTGTGGCAGATTCTGTAAAAACGCAGCAGTCTCACTTGGTACGTGAAGCCGAAAACTTAGGTTCACACAAAAACCTGCACGTGAGCATTTGTAGCAGCTGTATTCATGACTTCCTGAACTTGAAGGCAACCCATATATCCATGAGCAGGGGAGTGGGTAGACAAACGGTGGCAATCCAGATGACGGCTACCATCCAGGGCCACAAGGAAAAGCACGATCACCCAAGGGAGGACATGGAGGGACCCAACTGCGCCATACGTAGTGAGCAAAGCCACTCTGAAAAGGCTCTCACTGCCCAGTTCCAACTGCTTGACATCCTGGAAGGCAAAACCAAGAAGATCGCAGATCAGTGCTCCAAGGGGGTGGTTGCGGGGGTGATGGGGCACATGGGGTTTTTAAGGCAGTGCTGCTATTCTGAATGATCCCATAATAATGGAGACACGGCCTCATACATTTGTCCAATCCCATAAAATGTCCAATGCCAAGAGTAACCATCCCGTACGCTTGGACTTGGTGTGACTACGTGTCTGTGTGGGCTCCTTCATTGTAACAGATGTCCCCCTCCAGTGAGTGTGGATCCTGCAGAGGGCTACAGATGTGTAGGGGCAGGCAGACATGGGAACGCCGTCCTTTCTGCTCAAATTTGCTGTGAATCTACAATTGCTATAGAAATTTGATATGAGCCAGGTGAGGGGGTGCCTACCTGTAATCCCAGCTACTCGGGACGTAGTGGCACCCCTGCCTTCACAGAATATCTTGACTAAGCTCCTCCAGAAATCTTCCCCATGATTGATTTCAGTTCTATCAGCAAAAGAGTCTCCACAAAAGAGTTCAATGGAGGTAAACTTCCTATTTTGGCCTGTTGCTCTATTTTACTTGGCCACTGGCCTGGGAGAAATCAGCACTCCAGGTGCTGGACACCCCTTTACTAGTTTTCCATAAACATTTATCCAGTATCGTAATTTGTAAAAGTGTGTTTGCAAATGCAAAATTTGATTTAAGAAAAAAAAAAGACAAATCCTTTAACAAGGCCTCTGGCCTTGAGCTGGGCTTCACAGAGATGCCTACCTTTCTAAGATAAGAGAAGTTACCAGTTGGGCTCCATAGTAACAGCTGGCAGGGGAGGAAAGAAAGGAGAGAAGAAGCTCCCCCTTCTCAGGTGTGGTCCTTGAAGGGTTAACTTGCCCAGAACAGTGAAAGAAAAAGCTGCTTTTGTGAGAACTTTTTTTCTGCAGACTGGGAACTTCTGAGCCCCTCCCCTTACATGCTGGATGTAAAGTTCTGAAATTACCTGAACTAGGGGTTCAGGAGATTGATTGATTACAGCGAAAGCTGTGCCCTCTGAGCCTGGCTGCAGCCAAATAAAACTGTTTCCTGCTCTCTTGTTGCCTCGTGTGTCCCTGAAACAAGGAGACTGAGGCAGGAGGACCACAGGGTTGAGGCCAAAGTGGGCAATTTCACAAGACCCTGTTTCAAAATAAAGTGCAGGGGCTGGGGACATAGCTCAGTGTAGAGTGCTTGCAAGTGCAAGAACTAGCTGGGTTCAACCCCCAAACCCACAAATAAATAAATGAACAAAGAGGCCTCCTTCCCTCCTGCCTGCCTACCCTCTGCACTCCTCCTTCCACCTCAGCTTCTAGAAACAAGACCTCAAAAATATCCTGGAGCGAAGTCCCCCCCTTCAGGATCACTTCCTGTTTCCCAGAATTGGAGCAACGGGCTGACAACCAGGCACAGGGGCGTTTCCCTCTCCACTCCTGCCCGCCGCCCTTCTTCCCAGTGCCCCCACTCCTGCCTGCTGCCCTCCCCACCTTTCTCTGGCCTCTGCCCCTGGCATCACAAAGACCAGACGCACAGGTGTGGATCTGCAGATCCCTGCCAGGCCTGGCCTCTGGCCACGGAGGGGCAGCAGGGTCTGTGGTCAGAGCCAGAGGTACAGCTCCTAGGCAGGTCTGGCTGCACCTGGCCAGCCAAGGTCCCACCACTGATGGAAGAGGACTGTACAGTGTGTGGGGCGCCCCAAGGACTTCAGTGCGAGGTGACCTCAGGTGCAGGCAACTCCTCAAAAGCACCCTCTTGGGACTTGGCTCATGGCTATCTGTCACTTTGATAACCTTTTCTGGTTTCAGGGTGACTTGTATTCCCAGAAAAGCTAGTGGCCTCTTTGGAGATAACCACCACCCACCCCTTCCTCTGTTGTCAACTCCCCCAGACCCTGCCTTTCCCTCTCCCTGGCTCTGCCTCTCTCTGCCCGTGTGCCCCAGGGCCCTTGCATGGGCCATTTCCATGGCCCGTCCTTCCTCAGAGATGCCTCCTGTGCTGCCCCCATCCACACAGAGACCCTTGTCACCCCCCAGTGCTCTTTGTCTGGCATTCTGGTCCCTGCCCCTAGCCAGGCTGTGCACCCAGGGGCCTCCAGTAAGAGCTTCTTGAGCAAGCCAGGGTCCGCCAGCTGGTGCCCAGTAGCCCCAGCCACCTCTGCCTAGAAGTCCCACACTAGTCCCCGTCTACTGCGGCTGAGCTAGGGAGCAGGCTGGCACTTCTCTGAAGGGAACACCACCTTCTGGCAAATGGACAGGAGTACAGGGCACCCAGCACCCAGCCAGGCCCGGCCGGGCAGCCCCACGGTGCCACCTGCCTTTGTTCCCAGGAGGCAGTAACCTACACAGGTGCACTGCGGGCACCAGCAGGCACGTGGAGCAGCCCGCCCTGAGAGATGGCCCCTACTGCCTGAGAGTGTGCTGCGCACGCACTGACCTTGGCTCCAGTTCCATAAATACCCGGGGCGCAGAGGCAGGGCCACCTGGAGGCAGGGCCACCTGGAGACAGACACTCGCCATGGGGCGCCTGGGGCTGGTCGTCCTGGGCCTCGCCTGCTGCTTGGCCGGGGCGAGTGCTGCAAAGGTAAGCGAGAGCCCCGCAGAGGGGCCGGGCGCCCAGGGGCCCTCTCCTCGCTGACCCAGATCAGGAAACTGTGGGGACAGGGCCTGTAGAAGGGAGGACAGACAGAGCAGTCCCAGCGGAAACAGCCAGAACAAGAGACCCAGCGAGCCCACCAGCCCCGGGGCTGCGGCCGCCCAGGCCCTCCCTGCTAACCCACTCACGTGAGGCGGAGCCCCTGTGAGGCTGGACTTCAGAAAAACCACGAGCGACTGTTGGTGGAGGGCATCGGTGCGATTGTCCACTGCCCGTCTGAGGTTCAGTTGCCTGGGCCCCTTGAAGGTTGCTGGCCAAGTCGGGCCATCCTACCTGCAGCCCCGCTGATACCCACCTCCCTGTCTCATGGAAGGGAAGGCAGGGCCCTGGGCAGACAGGCCAAGTGCCCAGCGTCACACAGCCACCCTTCTGTTCTCAGCAGGAATCCGAATCTGGGCAGTTCAAGCCAGGCTCTGGCTCCCAGCGCCACCTCCATGTCTTGCTCCCCTCTAGGGGCACTGAGCCCAGCTTGCCTTGTGCAGGGCTCCCCTCGAGGTAGGGCTGCACCCGCTTTCTGGGGCATCTGCAAAATCTGCCCTTTAACTGGCTTCCCGAGGCGTGAGGAGCAAGTAACGAGTCCCCAACAGACACACAAAGTCAGAGAGGGCGTAGTCCCCGTCCCCAGCAGGACTCACACAGGGCCTCCAGGCCCTCACCGCACTGCCACCCCCCCACCCCCCACCCCCGTTCTCTGTCCATCCCTCATCCTGCCCCCCAGCCCCCGGGACTCCTTCCAGGTGGCCCTTCTCTACCTACTTCTGCCCCCGGGTCCTGCCCCGGGACCTGGAAGTCAGGGACCTGGCACTGGGTCCCTTCTGTCACAGAGGGGAAGTCATTATTTTTCTTGGGAGGGTTTTTGGGGTTCCCTCCACGGCTCTGGTCCCCCACCGACAGTCATCGCTCCCTATACTGCCACTTATTCCAGGTCCCCACACCCCAAAGCCCCCACCCTGAAGCCCTCAGACCCGTCTCAACCACTCACAGACCCCTCTGAGAGGGACTGCCTCCTCCCTGGAGCGCTGGCTTGGCCCTCTGCCTCCTCCCAGTGGCTTGGGGGGATGGAACGAGGAAGTCGGGGGGGCCTGCCAGTGTGGCAGGGTGCCCAGCAGTGTCAAGAGGCTCCCTCTGGTCCACAGTCCCTGCCGGCCCTGCTCTCCCACCTGGTGTGACAGGGGTCTGGCAGCTTAGGCTTCAGACTGGGGTGTAGGCCTGCTTCCTGCCACCTAGGACCTGGCTCAGGAGAGCCAGAGAGTTGGGGCTGCCACCACTCTCCACACAAGGGGAGCTGCTCTGGGCGGACAGGAGGCAGCGCCCAGAGGGCGCAGGCTGGGCAGCCACTTCCCAGCAGGGTGACTTTAAGCAGGAAGGCCTCTGAGCCTCAGCTTCTCCGGGGCAGCAAGCAGCTGAGCCCCTACCTCCAGGACCCTTGTGGGGATGGACATGTCAGCCCGTGTGGGGCAGCGCAGACCGAGACACCCGGAGCAGTTCTGCTGGCTTGGGTGGGATGGGGAGCTCCCTGGTGGGTCTTCCCACCATCTGGTGGTCTGCTGGCCCTGGGGGAGGCTCTATGGTATCCCATCTTACAGATCAGGAAATTGAGGCTCCAGGTCTCAGATAGGCAGCTTCGGCCAGAACCCACACGTCCACGCTGGCTGAGGGGCAACTCTGGATCTCTGGGGCTAGGGTGAAGGGACAGGAAGCCAGGCCCTCTAGCACGCTGGGCGAGGAGCAGCGGCCTGCCTTCTTGGGGCCTCCTTTGATGCTGTCTCTGGGGAGCCTCTGGCCCCCTGGTGCCTGCTTGGTTGGCCACTCCGGATTCAGGCCAGCCAGGCCCCAGTCTGCTGACCTTGCTGCCTCTCACTCAGCTGGGTGCCGTGTACACCGAAGGAGGCTTCGTGGAAGGTGTCAACAAGAAGCTGAGCCTCCTGGGTGGCGACTCTGTCGACATCTTCAAGGGCATCCCCTTTGCCACTGCCAAGACCCTGGAGAATCCCCAGCGTCACCCCGGCTGGCAAGGTGGGCACCGTGGGTGCTGGGCCAGCCTGGGTGGGTGGTGAGGGCACTGCCCTCCTCACGCCAGCCCCTCCCACTGCCCGCAGGGACCCTGAAGGCCAAGGACTTCAAGAAGCGATGCCTGCAGGCCACCATCACCCAGGACAACACCTACGGGGATGAAGACTGCCTCTACCTCAACATTTGGGTGCCCCAGGGCAAGAAGCAAGGTCTGCCTCTCAACCCCCAAAGGAAACCCCACATCAGAGCCCTGCCCCCGGCCGTCTCTGGGGGCTGCGAGCTGAGCTCCCTGGAAATCAACACAGAGGTGTGGGGGGAGGCGCCCACCTCTGGTCCCCAGCCTGGGAGAAGGTGCCTGCTGCACGAGGGCAGGGGAATGGCTGAGGAGAGGGCTGCGGGGGCATCTGAGTCACCTGGCCTATTCCTGCGTCTCAGTCTCCCAGGACCTGCCGGTGATGATCTGGATCTACGGAGGCGCATTCCTCATGGGGGCTGGCCACGGGGCCAACTTCCTCAATAACTACCTGTATGACGGGCAGGAGATAGCCACGCGTGGGAACGTCATCGTTGTCACCTTCAACTACCGCGTCGGCCCCCTGGGCTTCCTCAGCACGGGGGACGCCAACCTGCCAGGTCTGTGGGAGGCTCTGGGGTGGGTCCTGCGAGCTCTGAGTCCAGGAGGAAGATGCCCTCAGCACCCCTTGGCCCCAGAAAGATCCTGAGAACCCCACAGAAAGGCCAGAATCCCATTCCCAGAGCCAGGAAGCTAAGCTGAGTGACGTAGGGAAACAGGAGGCTGCGAGAGGCCAAGTGGAGTGGGGCAGGGAAGCCCGGGGAGACCAAATGACACACTGGGGCAGAGTCAGGGGTGGACACTGAAGCCACAGGACAGACAGACAACAGGAGGGACTGTGGCAGGGACCGGGGAGATGAGCAGGCCTGGCCATACTACTGCCCTTCCCTGTCCCAAGCTCCACATCCCTTCATCAAGTGTCTTGGGGCTCCGTTTGCCCCAGGATCTCAATGCCACTGAGGACGATTCCCTCCTCCCATGTTGTTGAGCCAGCCCTGGGTGCCCGCAGCCCCCTGCCAGCCCCAGCTCAGGTCTGGACAGACTCCTCCCCTCACCCTGTCCAGGTAACTATGGCCTTCGGGATCAGCACATGGCCATCGCCTGGGTGAAGAGGAACATTGCGGCCTTTGGGGGGGACCCCAACAACATCACCATCTTTGGAGAATCAGCGGGAGGTGCCAGCGTCTCTCTGCAGGTTGGCGGGTCCCTAAGAGGAGGGCTTTCTGCAGGGTTTGGAGGGCCAAGGGGGAGCCTGAAGTACCCTGGCTGGTGTCCTCAGCCAGGGCGAGCCTGGCTGACAGGACTTCTGTATTGCAGACCCTCTCCCCCTACAACAAGGGCCTTATCCGGCGAGCCATCAGCCAGAGTGGTGTGGCCCTGAGCCCCTGGGCCATCCAGAAAGACCCACTCTTCTGGGCCAAGAAGGTAAGTGGAGGAGGGCAGGGAATGGCAGGCTCGGGTTCTGCTAGAGACCCCGGGCGCCCTCCTGCTTTCTGCCGTCCGCCTGGATCCTATCCTTGCCCCAGACTGCTCCCTGCCTGGTCACCGGCCTACCTTACTCTGCCCCCAGGTTGCCAAAAAAGTGGGCTGTCCCTTGGATGACACCGCCAGGCTGGCCAGGTGTCTGAAGATCACCGACCCCCACGCCCTGACCATGGCCTACAAGGTGCCCCTGGCAGACCTGGAGTGTGAGTGGGTGCTGCTGGGGGAGAGCGGGGACCTATGGGGTGGGAGGCCACTGCCGGGCAAGGCCAAGCTCCTGGAGAGGAGAGGAAGGCACCGGGGCTGGGGCCAGGCCCGTCACTCACTGGCTTGTGTCCCTAGACAGCTCAGTGTCCCACTGCACCCGCTGCAGCCCTCAGGGGCTCCTGGAGGGAGGGGTCTCCTACTGTCTGTGAGTCATGGCGCCCCCTTTGAGAAGCTGATAACATGGGCCCCATGCCCCCAACAACACGTACGCGCAAGGACTTACGCACATTTTAGAGAGGTCCCCAGGCCCAGCGTCCCGTGCTCCACACCCTCTCCCTCTTCCTCCCGCAGCTCATTCAGCAAACACTGGCTGAGCATCTACAGTGCTGGGCCCCGCAGGCCCTGGCAGGGACTCCCCTGCTTGCCGGCTTGGCAGCTGGAGTCCTGCTCTCTCTCCCAAAGCAAATCTAAGGAAGCCTTACGTTTGCCTCTTTAACTATGGCGAATGCAAAGCCAAAGCCAAAGCCAAAGAAAATCATAGGGCTCAAATGCAAACCGACTCTTTTTCCCCCCGTTTTGGGTGTGGGGATAAACCCAGGGCCTTGTGCTTGCTAAGCATGCTCTCTGCCAACCCACACAGCTATCTGAAGGAGTGGAACTAAAGCCATGGCCTCGCCCTGCCCTGAACCAGCTATCGGGTCCTCTGGGTGCTGGTCGGGGTTCTGGAAGGCTGCAGACTTGCCCGTGGCGGAACCCAGCCCGGTAGTGGGCACCTCCTCCTCCCTCACTCTCAGCTCCTTGTTCCTGATTCAGGCTGAGTGAGAAGAGAGGGAGGAGAGGGGTGCCTGCCCCTAGGGCGAGAGGACGAGGCCCTGTGGCGAGAGGACGAGGCCCTGTGGCGAGAGGACGAGGCCCTGTGGCAAGGTTTGCAGACATGTTGATTGCCGCAGCTGGAGGGGTGTCACGGCATCCAGCGGTGGAGGCCAGGGATGCTGCGCCACCTCCCGCCCTGCACAGGACAGCACGTCCCACAGCGAAGCGTTATCCAGTCCCAAAGTGTCCAGGTCCAGGGTCGAGAATCTCTGATAGACCAGAGAAGGAAGGAGATGGACTCAGGCTGTACAAGGCCGATGGGAGGGCCAGGTGGACACGGCGAGGTCCAAGAGCCCCTTGTCTCTCCACCCAGACCCCGTGCTTCACTATCTGGCCTTCATCCCGGTCATCGATGGAGACTTCATCCCTGATGACCCCGTCAACCTGTTCGCCAATGCTGCTGACACAGACTTCTTAGCAGGCACCAACAACATGGATGGCCACCTCTTTGCAGGCATGGACTTGCCGGCCATCAACAAGAACAACCAGGACATCACAGAGTGAGCAGGGAGGGGCATAGGACCCCAGGGTCACATGCTGGAGGACAGCTGGGGAGGCTACCAAAGGCTCAGCAGGCGGTTGAGTGCAGGAAGTCGGTGCCAGGTTGGGGTGGTACTAGGGGAGGGTGGTTCTAGGTGGAGGGTCCAGTGCCTGCTTGTTCCCTTCAGAGAGGACTTCTACAGGCTGGTCAGCGGGCTCACTGTGACCAAGGGGCTCAGGGGTGCCCAGGCCACCTTCGACATCTACACTGAGTCCTGGGCCCAGGACCCCTCCCAGGTGACCAGGAAAAAGACTGTGGTGGACCTGGAGACTGACATTCTTTTCCTGATGCCCACAGAGATCGCCCTGGCACAGCACAGAGCCAAAGCCAAGTGAGATTCTGGGAAGTGGGTGCCTTCCTGGGGGGAGGGGCCATCTAAGATGCTTCACCTTACTTCTGAGGCCTCTTGGCCGACTAAACAAATACAGTGAGCTTCCCATCAGTCAAGGCAAAAAGGGAAACAAATGTGGACACATACCTTACCTTGTCCAATCAAAAGAGAAGTGCAAATTCACGTGGAGAGGAAAAAGCCCTTTCTTGATACTAAATTACAGGAGCAAGGTGCCTCAAACATCTTATAGAGGTGAGGCATAAATATGATCGAATTGTGGAATTCATGAATTTGGGCTGTGGCTCTTCCTTCCCCAGGTGTGAATACCCCACTTTTTCCATGGGTTCAGGTGGGAATTCCCCAGCTCCTTTTCTGCTCCCCACTGGCCTCCCCCAGGGCCCACTTCCAAGTGTCCCTTCCAACCCGGCTGTCTGTCCACCTCTCAGGAGTGCCCACACCTACTTCTACCTGTTTTCCCATCCCTCTCGGATGCCCGTCTACCCCAAATGGGTGGGGGCTGACCACGCTGATGACCTCCAGTATGTCTTTGGAAAGCCCTTTGCCACCCCGCTGGGCTACCGGCTCCAGGACAGGACTGTCTCCAAGGCCATGATCGCCTACTGGACCAACTTTGCCAGAAGCGGGTAAGGTGTGGGTTGAGCCAAAAAGGCCTCCTGCCGCTGCCCCCCTGCCTGCCAGTGGGGAGACTTGGGCAAGTCATTTAGCCCCGAGCCTCCGTGTCCCCTTCTGTACCTGAGGATAAAAGCTGCCCACAGAGCCCAGGACCTCAGCCAACGCTGGGCCACAGATGGGTCTTCAGAGGGCCAGGGCTGTGCAGGGTGTGGACATGGAGCTGCCGGGGCTCAGAGCTGCCGCCTCCTGGGAGCCCTCGGACCTGCCCAGCCTCTTCTCACTCTGCAGGGACCCCAACATGGGCCACTCGGCCGTGCCCACACATTGGTACCCCTACACCCTGGAGGACGGCAGCTACCTGGAGATCACCAAGAAGATGGACAGCAGTTCCATGAAGCAGCACCTGAGGGCCAACTACCTGCAGTACTGGACGCAGACCTACCGGGCACTGCCCACAGTGGTGGGTGAGGGGGCCACCCCAGGGGCCCCCGCCAATGACTCCCTGGCCCCCCAACTCCCCCCCACCAACGACTCCCGTCCCCCCCTATTCCCACCTGCCAACGACTCCCTGGCCCCCCCACTCCCACCCGCCAATGACTCCCGTCCCCCCATATTCCCACCCGCCAACGATTCCCGTCCCCCCCCACTCCCACCCGCCAACGACTCCCGTCCCCCCCCATTCCCACCCGCCAACGATTCCCGTCCCCCCCCACTCCCACCCGCCAACGATTCCCGTCCCCCCCCACTCCCACCCGCCAACGACTCCCGTCCCCCCCCACTCCCACCCGCCAACGACTCCCGTCCCCCCCCATTCCCACCCGCCAACGATTCCCGTCCCCCCCCACTCCCACCCGCCAACGACTCCCGTCCCCCCCTATTCCCACCCGCCAACGACTCCCGTCCCCCCCTATTCCCACCCGCCAACGACTCCCGTCCCCCCCTATTCCCACCCGCCAACGACTCCCGTCCCCCCATATTCCCACCCACCAACGACTCCCGTCCCTCCCCATTCCCACCCACCAACGACTCCCTGGCCCCCCCATTCCCCCCCCACCAACGACTCCCGTCTCCCCCTATTCCCACCCGCCAATGACTCCCGTCCCTCTCCATTCCCATGCGCCAATGGCTCCCTGGCCCCCCCACTCCCACCAGGTAACGACTCCCTGGCCCTCCCAGTACCCCCTGTGGACCAGTCCCAGGGCCCCCCAGCACCCCGTGGATGACCCCCAGACTGTAGCAGCACCTCCCGCGGACAATCCCGAGGGGGCTCAGATTCCTGTAGTCACTGACTCCTTTCTTCTGTGTTTCAGGAGCCTCAGCCCCATGAGGCCACAAGGGTGGGACCCCAGGGTCCACCTCCTCTCTTGAGCTGTTTTGAATAAAACTGCATCTCTTTTGTCCGGTGTCTGTCTTTGCTTCAAGATTAAAGGGAGGAGGGGCTGTCAGTCGTCCTTAATAGCAACAGGCATTTGGTCTAATGCTACAGGTCATCTGGGTCAGGTGCCAGGCTGCAGAATGTTTAAAGTCTGATCTTCATTTTAGAGAAGGGACAGGGGCAGGGGTGGAGTATGGGGGTCTTTTGCTGGCAGGAATCGGCACCCAGCTCTCAGCTTCCCGGGAGCCCCAGCCAGGGTAAGCCCTGGAAGCACCTGGCAGAGGGCCCAACTGTCTGGGGCCCTTTGGGTCCAATCAGTGGTGCACGGGTGGCGGGCGCTGGGACTGACTTGTGGGTGGCAGGGTGCGTGGAAGGCCACTGTGGCCTTCAGCGGCACATTGCCATTCTCCCCAAACACAAAACAGCAGGGACAGGAGTTTGTGGGTCTGGAGCAAGGATTCCAGAGGATTGTCATGTAAGGGAAAGGTGCCAGGGCCTGAGGGACCGAGGAGGCAAGTCCCTTGCCACGGGCTGGTCCTCTTCCTGGGGGACTTCCTCGCCACCTTGTAAGCCTGACTGTGCCACTTCCCCTACCTGGTGCTGATTTCCACAAGTTCCTATTTGGTGATCAGAGAAAGCCAGCAAGACAAGTGTCGAATGTCCTGCTTCGTCCTCCGCTGTAGGAGGGCAGCCGCATGGGTCAGGAACGGTGGTCCTTGCAAGTGCTGTTGTTATTATTATTATTACTTTTTGAGCTGGCATCTCACTGCAGTGCTCAGCCGGGTCTCAAACTCATGGGCTCCATCAATCCTCCTACCTCACTCCAGAGGACTGAAGTGCGCACCGCCCACCAAGCCACAAAAGTTCTATTCAGGAGAAGGGTTACGTGGCATTAATCCACCCACACGGCGAGCAACCATCACACCACTAGTTCCAAAATTCTTCATCAGCCCCAACAGAAGCTCCGTGGCCACTGACCATGAGCTCACCCGTTCCCCACTCCCATGGCCTGGAACTCTGCTCTCTGTCCCCATGAATCCGCCTATTCCAGATGTTTCTTCAAGGCCATCACAATGTTCTTGGGTTCGTCCTCACTGTGGTTCTGTGGCCTGAGGGGCCCTCTGTTCCTGGGTGTGGCTGGACCACCTGCCCTTGGAGGCTGCTGGGGCATAACGGTGCCCAGGACTCCAGTGGGCCTCCTCATTTCTGCCCAGTGGGTACTGGTGTCCCGTGTGTGTTCCCGTCCCGCTGAGTGATCCAAGTCCTCCGCTTTTCTTCTTTGTTAACCTAGCTAAAGGTCTGTCGATGTCATTGTTCCTTTTGAAGAACCAACTTTTGGTTTCACTGAGATTCTCTGTGGCTCTTCTCTTTTCTGTCTCTGGTTAATCTTCATTATTTTCCTCCTTTTGTAGCTTTGGATTTAGGGGTCTTTGTTTTTGTTCTAAGCCATACTGTTTTGCAGTTGATTTTATGATTTTATTTTATTTATTTATTTTTTTAAGAGAGAGTGGGAGAGGAGAGAGAGAGAGAGAGAGAGAGAGAGAGAATTTTTTAATATTTATTTTTTAGTTCTCGGCGGACACAACATCTTTGTTTGTATGTGGTGCTGAGGATCGAACCCGGGCCGCACGCATGCCAGGCGAGCGCACTACCGCTTGAGCCACATCCCCAGCCCCTGATTTTATGATGTTAGATTTTTTTTTTTTGTAGCAGGGATTGAACCCAAGGCCACCTAGCCACTGAGCCACATCCCCAGCCCTTTTTATTTTTTAACACGGAATCTCACTAAGTTGCTTAGAGCCTCATTAAATTGCTGAGACTGACCTCAAATTTGTGATCCTCCTGCCTCAGCCTCCTGAGCTGCTGGGTTTCACCTAGCTTGAGATCTTTTTCTTTCTTTCTTTTTTTTTTTTCTTTTTGGTATCAAGGGTTGAACCCAAGGGCACATACTGAAGCACTAAGCCACATCCCTAGCCTATTTTTTTTTTAAATTTTATAGACAGGGTCTCACTACACTGCTGAGGCTGGCCTTAAATTTGTAATCCTCTTGCCTCAGCCTCCTGGGTCACTGGGATCACAGGTGTGGGCCATTGCAGCTGGTTTAGATCTTTCCTTTTTTACCGTGGGTGTTCACAGCTCTCCATTCCCTCTGAGCAGTGCTTTTGTTGTTTTCCTACTTGCAGGACATCATGGGGTTCCCCATGATCTTGTCTTTGACCTGCTGGTTGTTTAGAAGCGTGCTGTTTGAATTCTACAGATTCACCATCAGCCCAGCTCCTTCTGCCGTTGACTTCTCGTTTCTCCCACTCAACTTGGAAAGAGACTCGGCATGCGTCAATCCTTTAGATGTACCCGCTGTTCCTGGCCTCACACACGTGTCTGTCCACATGCATCTGAGAGGACGCACCCTCTGTGGCCGCTTAGGTCCTCTAAGGGTTAGGGTTCATCATCTTGCTCAAGACCTCTGTTCCTCATCCACCTCTGGTTGGCTCTTCTATTCAATATTGGAAGTGAGGCATTGAAGTCTCCCAGTCTGGCTTTCTCCCTTCAATTATGTCCATTTTGCCTCTTATCTTTTGTGCATGTTATTAGTTGTGCATGTTTCAATTTTATCTTCTTGATGAGACTTCTATCGGTATATACAGACCTTCTTAACCTTCCTCGTCTACTGCTACTTTCTGACATAAAATTTTACCTGATATTATAGCTGTTATTAAAATAAACTATTATTATGGAATATCTTTTCCTATCTTTGTGTCAAAGTAAGTTTCTTTGAATACAGCATGCTTTTCTTTTAAAGCTCATTCTGCCCATCTCTGCCCTTTAGAGAATCTAACCCATTTATATTTACAGCAAGTATTGAGAGGGAAGTTCTCACTTCTGCCATTTAGCTATTTTTTTTTTCTGTATGTCTAATATGGTCTTTGCTCAGTTCCTCAAATACTACTTTTTATGGACTTAGTTTTTATTTATTTATTTATTTATTTGTGGTGCTGGGAATTGAACCTACGGTCTCTGGCATACCAGGCGAATGCTCTACCACTGAGCTACATCCCCAGTCCCTTCAGTTTTCTGTTTTTTGTAATTATCAGGCAAAGTATTCTAATGTGAATGTATTTGTGGATGTATTTTTTTTTTTTGTAGTGTATCATTTTGTTTCTCCTTTTCCTTTACTTCTTTTAGTCATTTTCCTAGTGGTTATCTTTGGGATCACGATTTCTAACCATCTCTTTTCAATACCAACTCAGTGTCAGCAGTACACAAATCCTCATGGATTTCCATTCTTCCCCTTATATCGTTATTCTCATGGACTACATATCTACATCTACTCACATGGATTCATAGTCAGTCTGATGACTTTTGCTTTTAAATCACATATAAAGGAAGAGTTAAGGCCGAGGGGCAATCCTGCTGTCTCTTCTGGTCACCTATTGGTGGCTTCTGCCGGCTCTTTATTTCTTTAATGGCTTTGGGTCACAGTCTAAGCCTTTCATTTCAGCCTGAAGGACTAAAAGCATTTCTTGTAAGGCACCTCTTCTAATAACAGTCTTCCTTACGTGTTTTCATCTGGGAACATCTTCAATTTCTCTTCTATTCTCAAAGGATGTCTTGCTTCCTCTTTCAGCACATCTTGGTCATGTTGTTCCACTGTGTCTAGACTAAAACTGGCTGCTGACCTGACGGAGGATTCCTTGTATATGACAGATTGCTTTTTTCTTCCTACTTTCAGGATTTTCTCTTTTGACAATCTGTCTGTAGTGTGTTTTGGTGTGGATCTCTTTGAATCTACAGTTTGAAACTTACTGAACTTATTAGGTATGCCTATTTACATACTCCAGCAAATTTGTGAATTTGAATAAAAGTTAATAAAAGAAATAAAGGAAAAGGAGAATCAAAATGATACACTACAAAAAACTATTCAAAATACATGTGCATTCAAACACTTGGCATGCTAGTTTTCCTCATTCTTTCCTTTCTGCTCCTCATACAGAAGAATTTCAAGGGCCTTATCTTCAAGTGCACTGACTCTTTCTTCTTCCTACTCGGATGTGCTGTTGAACCCCTCCAGTGCATTTTTCATTTTGGTCATTATAGTTTGCAGTTTCAAACTGGCTCCTTTTTATCATTTCTGTCTCCTTATTGAATTGCCCATTGTTCATACATAATCCACTGATTTGGGGTCCATGATTCATTGAGCTCACTGAGCATATTTAATGCAAGGATGTGCTGTCTCTGGCTACTAATTCCTCAGGAATAGTTTCTTTCAAAGCCTTTTTATTTTTCTTCCTGCAAGCGAACCATATTTTCCTTTCTTTGTATGTTTTGTGATTTGGGGAAAACTGAACACTGAGTACTATGATGGGATTGCTCTGAAAAGCAGATGGTCCCTCCCCAGGAGCTGATTCTGTGGCTTGTGGAAGGCTGTCTCCTGTTTCTACTGTGACTCTTGCAGACTGTTTTTGTGAGGACTGTATTCCGTGTTGTGTGCAGTCTGTCAGTTTTCTGTTCCTTTGTCTCTGGGGTCACCTGTGATGGAGGTTTCCTGAACTGCTGAATCTCAGCGGTGTCTTGCTTGGTCACTGTGTCTGACTGTGTTCCAAAGCAGGGGATTTCAGTAGTCCCCTCCCACCCCCAACTTGACGGTTGTTTCCCTAGAGAGCCTGAACCCTGGAGCTTCCTACTCTGCCATTTTCTGTTGCAAATGCTATTTGTAGACAGCAACATTTCAGAGGTTGCTCCATACTCTGTGAAACACCCCGATCTCTTGTCCTAGGAGTTCTGAGGGGCCCTCAGCACACGACCCAGCTTACTGAGACTGAGATGAATGTGTGCCCCATGTACGCTACACATGTTGCCTTCAGCATGCCTCAGAAGAGCGGCTGGCCCTTCTTAA